GCAGCCGGAGGCGGTTGTGGCCCTGCCGCCTGGGCGCACCGCCTCTCCCAGCTTCCCCCTGCCCCCGCACTGCTGCCCGGAGAGGGGCGATGCGGGGCGCAGGCTACTCCGACAGGGCGGGAGGAGAGGAGGGGACAACGGGGAGCCGCCACGGGAGGGGGAGGGGCAGCACCTCAGCGAGGGCAGGTCGCACGGACCGTGCTGCAAGGGGCAGGAGCGGAAGGCGGCAGCGACCGCACAAGCACGCAGGCCAGCACCACCGCTGTCAGTCTCCTTTGTTTCGGAACACTTCTGCCTGCAGCTGGATATGCAGATCCACCAGCCGCAGATCTTACCGGCTGCCCAGCGTTTATTGCGCCGACACGTACGTAAAACATCGCAAGGAACTGCCTACTCATCGTCAGAAAGAGACGAGAAAAATCACTTTGCAACATCACACACAGAATGAAGATCAACACCCGAAAAAAGGAAGCAGGCTCCAATACACGCAGCTACTTACCCAGTGAGCTGGTCCCAGTTGCTTCTTCAGTAAAGGTTTTCCAACATGATTAGGTGGCACCTTTGCTAGGGTTTCCTTCAGCTGTCAGAAGACATAGGAAAATATAAACACTGTATAAAACACTAGCTTTTCAAGATTCAGATTACAGGAGAAGACTTGGACAGTCAGAGGCATGACAGAGCAACCTCCAATATCAAGTTGGTTTCCTCTGGGACAGAGAACCAAGCACACTTCTTTTGGAAAACAACTGTTTTTCTATTTCTGGTAGTCTCAGCTATAATTATTTAAAAATTAAGAGAAGGGACTATAGAGTAGATCTGCAGTTAAAATAGAAAGATTCCATGAGGTAGAGCTCCCCTTAAAAACAGAGGGATTATTCTACACATCACCTCTTTAATTCAGAAAAACACCCACACTTGTATGAAAAAGGTTGTATTTCACATAGTCTTAATACAACACGACCTAAAGAAAGATTCCTCTTTACAATCAAAAGGAGAAAATCTTCAATATGACAATTTAAATATAACTTGCACTTGAAATGTTTGGGCACTCCTTAGGTTATCTTCCCCATCTCAAAACCTCTGAGGACTTCAGAGGGAAGAAATGGAGTAGCAGCGACAAAAACGTGGATCCAAGCAGGCTGGAGTTATGAAACTTGACTTCTCCACTGCTCCAAACCACATTTTTCAACTCCCTGCTCTGTTCACTCCAGCAGCTATTTAACACATTCAGTGACCTGCTTTTCCAAAGGTGCTGAGCCCAATTAGTCTAAATTGAAGATTTAAAACCAAGTGCTTTTGGGATAGCAGAGGCAGCAGCTCACTCAAGGATCAGCAGATTCTTTTTTTAATGTGGCGGATCATCAACAAAGAGTCAGCCGCACAAAGATCCTACCCCAGACTGTGCTATGTATGTGCAAAGAAAAATGTGGCTCGATTTTCACGTGCTAGATCGGAAAACTGCCATTCTAAGACTCACTTTTCAAAAACAAGGAAACTTTAGGGTGATCTCTTGTTATAACCATCATCTTACAGTCAAGAGTAAAATTTTCACTCTATGTTATTTAAGTTTTCACACTTTGCTCAACTTTGCAATGTATTTTCATTCACAAAATGAAGTAATTTTTCCAGTTATTTGTCAGCTTTGCTTTCCCCTTCTCAAACACTGCCAACATCTGAAGTGTTCGGACTGTAAGCACCACGGCTACATATGATTTCTAAAAAACTCTGTAGGCTAGAAATTCCTGATGTATTTTATTAAGCTATAAGGGCTGTTCAGGGTTTTTTTTTATTATAATCACCTATGGATATAAATAATTGAGAAAACATTAATTTAACTTTGCAAGACAATGTAAAAGAAAAGACAATTCATAAAACATAATAGAATTCCCAGACTAAAAAGATTTTGTTCTACTTCGTATTCCGTATTTTTATAGTCTCTTTTACCAGCAAAGCTTGCTAGCATTGCTCATTGCTATGAATCTTTTCTACCTTTGATAGAAAATGGAAGCACAGATTTCTTCTGTATCTAACTATTTAATGCCCATCAGGCCCAAATCAGAAAACAAACTGCTTCCATTCTACACCTTGGACTTCTGCTGGAAAACCAGGCTCTTCTTAAACAAGCCAATCCAAAGCGATTCCTTGCAAAGAGAAAACTATTTCCAGTTGCTTGGATTTGTTTTAGTACAATGCAACTGAGAGGTTAGTCAAAACACTCCTCAGAGTATTTTGGGGAGATTTGTAATCATATCTGTTCTCTTCTGCTGTTCTGCTCTCCCCTATCTTGCAAGTTAAGTTACTTAACGTAACTTAAAAACTTTGTCCCCCACCTTTGCTCTGTGCACTCGATAGTCCCTTCCCCTTCATTTCTCAGCTTTATAAAAATTACTGAAGCAAAAGTAAATTTAAAAAACCAAAACAAAACACAAGAATCTGGAGAGCACGTACATGTAAAGGAACAAAACCAACTGGAACCACAAGAACTGATGAAGCCTTAGGGAAAAGGTGTAAACCTGACTGTAGTTACAACACCTTTTAACCCAACATTTTTTTAAAACAGTAGGTTCCAGTACAAATTTGTTTAGGTGTATTTCTTGGAATACTTTTCTCCTTAGTGTTCTTCCTGAGGCTAAGCTCAGCACTGTCCATGTCTCCTGCCACAGGCGATGGCACTAAAACCCGGAGCAGAGTAAGCAGCACCTCACCCCGGAAGGCAATGGCAGCAGCAGTCCCTGACCTCGTGCCTTGGCGTGGAAAAAGCCTTTAAATTCATTTTCCAAACCCTGACTCTTGGCACGCTCAGCAAACCACGTTAACTCCTTCACAATTCAAACACGGGAGTTTCACACGAGGCACATCTCTCCCTGGCAGCAGAACGATTTTCCACCAAAACAGTACCATCACAAATAGTCTACTTTTGTTCCTTCGGATCTTACTTTTTTTTCAATTCCACTGAAGAACTGGAACATCGTTATGTTGGCTGGAGGCTTGGACATGCCTAAAGCAATACATATGCCTTTTAGCTCCTGAAAGACTTCACTGCCACCTCCTTCCTGTGCTTTTTTAGGAGGGGCGTTCACACACAGCATTCTGGCAGCTTCCAGTTCTGAGATGAGGTATGCTGGGTAAGAAAAATTAGATTTCAGCATCAGATACAGCCGAGTTAAATTACTTCAGAACCAGTGAGAACCCAAGCGCTTACAACCAACAGACGTGCAAACAGACCGTTTCAGACAGAGTCAGGGCAGGAATTTGGGTATCCACAGAACGCTCCCGCCTCTCGTCACCCCTGCGCCTGCCGCTGGAGCACCACACACGGGGGAAGGCTCGGCACAAGCAGCAAAGCCTGGAGAAAACCCCTGCGACCCCGACAGGGATTAATCACAGCGTGCGGCAGAGCACAGCTC